AACGGCCAACACTCATTCTGTCGGCCTGCCCTGACCGTCGCGTCGGTTGGCGGGAAAAGGAGCTGGTATGCAGTACCCGAGCCCTGCTTTCCAGTATGGCTCAAAACGAAGAGAAATAGGAGATAGTATGGGCTACGGCCACTGCACTTAATCGAGGGTGCCGCTTCGCTTCCAGGAATACTCTCAGAATTGATGGATATTGACACAATGACAGATATTTGACGCGCCGAGTGTTTACCTGGGGGAAGTACGTCCTGCACTTCTCCCCAATCGCTGAATTCAAGCAGGTGCTGCTACCCCGGGCATTTCATATTCAATATTCCAGGATGCTTGTCTCCTGGTGGCCAATGGGCGGTACCGCGAGTCACTGGGATCTCGAGGTCTAGACGCCGACTGCATGAGCTTGCCACTCGTCTTGCCCTGGCGAGAAAACTAGGATTCTCTGGTGTCAATTTCCAGCTGCTGTGATCCGCGCCTGTCAATTGGGTTCAATTGGGGGACGACATGGGATTGGTCGTAAAATTTTTAACATTGTGTCAGCAGGCTAATTTGTCTCGATTCTGCAACGAGGGGGAACATGAAGGCTGTGTGTTTCCTCATGTCATCCAGTCATCCGACCCAAGGATCCCTCCCTTTTGTTAGGAAACCACCTCGGGAGCTATCGAGGAATCCCGTCCATCACCTTGTTGTGGCCAGAGGCACTTTGAGATTCGCCAATCAGGTATTTTTTCCGACTCTTCGCAAGCCTTTCACCGCATGCCGCATGCTCATGTGAGATCTAGAAGTTGCAGCTTCGGATTGCAATTCGCTACTCTCGGATGATATTTGCCCTTGAATGTAACCTGGTGGGATCATATTGGCCAGGTTTATGGTTACAGTGCCGCAAAGCGAGACACCAACAGCCGGTCTCTGATGCTACATGTCACTACTGGCTGCTCACTCCATCCTGGACATCCAACATCAGGCTAAATTGAAAAACATGCCAGCTTGCCATCCCCTCCAGTGACCTCTGCAGACCTTTTGACCAGATCAATCATGCAGGGTTCCTCTTCTGGAGAGCTCTCTGGGATCACAATGCCACTCCGGGCGAAGGCAACATAAGCCAGCCAACAGCGTGCAGCTACCTCCTGCTCCGCGTCACCTTCTCATCGATCTCCAAGATCCATACAATGTTCGAAAATCATGGAACGGTAGCTTTGGCTATCCGGAACCCGCGCCGGAAAGAGCTGCATGCACGAGACTCTCCCCCATTATTACCCCAGACACCTCACCCCTCCCAATTGGCTGGCCCCGGCCCCTCCCTTACTTTGTGTATGACACCCCAGCCAATGCCTCCTCTTTCTCCCGTGTTTTCTCGTCTTGTGAATGGTCGAGTGCGCCTGGGGACCTGGAGCCATGTGTGAGCCTCAACAAGCGGACCAGCCAGCAGAGGCTCTGGCCTGCATGCGAATTCCAAAAACGATAGCTCGGCACAATATTCCACCAATGGTCCTTTTGGACGGGGGTCTCTTTGCGAATCCCATCGGAAAACTCTGTTTGTCGACTTTACGGCCCGACGTTCCTTCTCACGGGACATTGGATGAGACATCTGATCGGGAACAATCGACGCCCACGTTGGGGGTTGGGGGGAGGGGTTCGTGGCAATATGAGATCCCGGTGGGAGAGAGCTCTTTTTACCCAATGCAGCTCAAGGGCCCACGGAATGGGGAACTATACTCTTTTGTATTATACCGACGGGTTTCTACTGGTTCTTGAGGTCGCATCTTAAAGGGCGTCTGCTCCCCTCACTTCACCTGGCCGGTCTGAAGATTCTCTCTACGGCTCGTCCTTGCATCTCAATTCTCCAGCATTGGCAATTATTGGAGTAGCAAGCAGTTCGCAAAATGGGAGACAATAACAAGTCTGGCGCTCAGATCGAGAGTGCCGAGGCTGATCTCAACCGTCTTCAAGATGTTGACCTGAACGACAAGGGGCTCAATGCTGAAGCCCTTGAGGGTAACGCACAAGAGCATAGCCTTACCTTCGTTCAGGCAATGAAGACGTATAAGCGCGCTGCATTTTGGTCGATTAGTATGTGAAGGCTGCAAAGACAACGTGGGAGACTAGCCGTTGCTAACCGTTTGATCTCTGCAGTGATCTCGTTGACTGTCATTATGGAAGGGTACGACGTGACACTCCTCAGTTCCTTCTACGGCTACCCCAAGTTTCGAGAGAAGTACGGTCAATACCTCAACGAAGAGAGCGGATACCAGATTTCTTCCGCCTGGCAGCAACGATTCAACGCCCTAGCTGCCGTGATGAACATTCTCGGTGCCATCCTCAACGGCTGGGCTACCTCGCGATGGGGCCACCGCAAGGTGCTCATATTCAGCTTAATCTGCTTAACTGGCTTCATCTTCATTGTGTTCTTCGCTCCCAGCATAGAGATCATCCTCGTGGGTGAGATCTTCTCCAACATTCCCTGGGGTGTGTTCGCAACCACTGGCCCTGCCTACGCCGCCGAGGTCGTGCCAATGGCCATTCGCGGATACTTGACTGCCTACATCAATCTCTGCTGGGTCATCGGGCAGCTCATCTCCGCCGGTGTCCTCGCCGGGCTGGTCAATAACAAGACAGAATGGTCCTACAGAATTCCCTTTGCCGTCCAATGGGTGTGGCCAATCCCTCTCATGATCTTTGCCTATCTGGCGCCCGAGTCCCCGTGGTTCCTCGTCCGTCAGGGCAGGTTGGACGAGGCCAAGCAGAGCTTGCAGCGGCTCTCGGAGCCCAGCCACAACGTCAACTACGATGCCGCCGTGGCGCTGATGGTGCACACCAACAAGCTGGAGATTGAGGAGCGTGCCGGTGCCACGTACTGGGATGCTTTCCGGGGCACGAACCTTCGCCGAACAGAGATTGCGTGCATGGCTTTCCTCTCACACATTACAAACGGCGGTGCGCTCTACTACAGTGGAAGCTTCTTCTTCCAGCAGACCGGCATCGACGACGACATTGCATACAACATCACTCTCGGCGGCAAGGGTCTCTCATTTATCGGCACCGTGGTTTCCTGGTTCTACATCCACAAGTTCGGGCGCCGGAGAATCTGGCTCACGGGATTCGGCACTCTGGTCATCCTTCTCTGGCTTGTTGGTTTCCTGGCACTGCCTCACCAGACCTTGGGTCTCGCCTGGGGCCAGTCCATCCTCTGCGTTGTGTGGCTGGGTGTTTACTCCATGTCTGTCGGGCCAATCGTCTACACCATGGTATCTGAGATTGGATCGACCCGTCTCCGAACCCAGACTGTCGTCCTTGGCCGAAGCGTTTACTACCTGGGTAACATCATCTGTGGTGGAGTCTTGCAGCCCAAGATGCTGGCTCCCGGTGACTGGAACTTGAAAGGAAAGACGGTAAGTTGAATAATTACGATGCTGCCGAAGAGCGCTGGACTGATGCTAATGACTCCTATTAGGCTTTCTTCTGGTCTGTGCTTGCTACTTTGACCTTTGTCTGGGGGTATTTCCGCTTGTTTGAGACCAAGGATCGAACATTCGGTGAACTGGATATCATGGTAAGTCGTACAACCTCCAAATTCCTTCTTTTAAAGCTCGCTAACAGTCATCGTAAACAGTTCCAGAAAGGTGTGTCCGCCAGGAAATCTGCCAAGTATGTCATCAACAGCGAGGAGATGTTCATGGGTGACCAGATCGTCAATGAGAAGAAGGAAGAGGTCGGCCAAAATTGATTGCTGCGTTCATCTGAAATTGGCCAGTATGAGCACGATGATGAAGAGGGAGGCTTAAACTCTATGTTAAGATGACTTATTCTATTTATCAACGAATGTCATTGATCAATTTGCTACTGAGTCACTACATGTAGGAGAGTAGTTGATAAGTCGTGGCAGCGTGCTACTAGACCACAGTAGACGGATATATCAAATCATATTGCTCGTATTGTCCATGACGATTCCGTAGCGAAATAGCCATTGCCTTAGCTTCAATTGTTTGTTTTCTTTGCCGTAAGCAAGGGGTATATCCCAAGATCAGGCCGCACACGCGACTTTATCACACAATGTTTTTGAAACACAATTTACAGCCCATATCCAAGCCAAGCCAAGCAACAAGCCAAGCAACAATGTCAGTATCCGACGTTATTCTCCGAACTGCTAGCTACCTAGGATGTGGTCAGGGCAAATGACCAGGTCCTCGAGACTATGAAAACAATCATTAGCATCAACTTAAACAGAGTCTTTTCTTACTTTATCTAATATGCAGACCCTCAATCGAATGTAGGCTCATATGTCAGATAAATTAAGAAAAGACCCTCTTTAGGCTAATGCTAATGATTGTCTTCATAGGTTCGAGGACCTGGTGATTTATCCTGACCATATCCTAGCCAGTAGTTAGGAGATTTATATACAAGTCGAAACACTCACCACCGGTGGAGCCGATTTGGGTTCAAAGACAAACCCAGACTCGAACATGTCACCGATTCCGGTCAAGTATTCGTAAAGATCAATGTCGCCGGCTCCCAAGCGAATCAAAGTCATTCGGCCACGGAAGATTAAGCTTGCTGAGACGGGGTAGCCCGTTTCAAGAGTCCATCCAAACGGGGAGAGAAAAAAAGCACTTGAATTGTTTTTGAGAAATATCCAAAGTCACCTTCTCCCCACGTCTCAGTGAGCTGAATCCCCCCTTTTCCTATTAGCAGGACGCGTTTAACAAAGTATGCCGTCAAGGCGCAACAGTCAAGGTAGTATAGCCCTGCACAATTATCATAGATGCTGTCTATAGAGTTGTTCAGGAGCTTTTTCCAATCAGCTAATATAACAAATGTCTCCAAATGATATATCAATACATGACGGCCTCCTATAAGCTACCTACAATCGAGGGCCGGTTAGTTAGCTATCTTCATGAGCTCGTAGCTTGAGTGTAGAATCAAATGATTCACTAAACCAGCTCATCGCGGCCCTCAACTTCCCACAAAATATCGCATTTGCCAGTCTTTGCGGTACCAGAGCCATGGGCTTCAAGACTTCAGGACCTGCTCTTTCCTCCCGCGCTTCGGCTGCCTCCAGATCTTCCACCACGGGCCTCAAGGCCTCGGCGGTTTCGACTGCCTCCCCTACCGCCACCCTTTCCACCGCTTCCGCCCTGAGTAGATCTGCTGCGGGCTTCAAGATTGCGACGGTTTCGACTACCTCCTTTTCCACCTCCCTTGCTACCGCTTCCGCCCTGGGGAGATCTGCTGCGGGCTTCAAGATCGCGTTCTTCGAGATCATCGTTGAAGTCACGCTCCCCGAGCTCCTCAAAGTCCCGTGGGTTGACAGGCGGAGCAAGGCCAGCTCGCTCCACCAGGGTAAGCTCGCCGCTGGCATCGTTTATTTCCAGAGCAAGTCCCTTGCTGGCGAGACCGCACCAGACGAGAGTGACAAGAGCGAGATGCTGAGCGACGACCATTTTGACTTAATTGAGAGGAAACTGAGCAATAAAAATTGAACAAATGAGAATAGTAATGATTGTATAAATGGGAGAAATAATGTTTTCTTTTTGCTTCTTCTTTTGTATCTTTTGATAGGTGTTTAATGCTTGTGACTGATGTGTGTTGATGACCGGAAAGACGAAATTTTGAGAGAGACACTTAGGAGTTTATATACCTACATTTCTCATGGAGACCATAAAGATATTGTCAAACATCTTGAACTTGGGATGTTCTAAAAGTGGTAAACACCAGTTTATTCCATTCATCATCATTCAACATTCATTCTGTTGATGCTTGATAGATGTCGTCTACTACACGTTATTCGTCGAGCGCGAATGTGCCCCAAAACGGTAGAGTAATCGCGAGCCCTGTCCACTCCACTCCCACGGGACGGAAGGCAAATCCATGTGCATTAACGGTAGTGAGATCGAACCCCTGTTCACGCGGGTATCAAAGAGAGTTTACAAGCCGAAGCCTACTTCACCATGTGTCCGAGAGCCCGTAATTTGAGATATAGTGAGAAACGAAACGAGGAGATATGGCTCAAGGCAGTGCTGTAAAGTTCGTGCTTGCCTTAAGTTGAGTAAGTGTTCATAGATCGTATTCCTCTTACAGCAAATGGAGACGCACCGACATCTGCATATACACTATATTAGTTCTGCTGCACCATATGGCGACAGCCGAGACCATTCCCCAGGCTGCTTTCCAAACCGGAGGTAGCGCTCATCCATATGCCGGTCCATCCAACAATAAGCTCGGAGTTTCCAATCAAATCAGCAACCCAAGTACTCGGTCAGTCTTTTATTTACTACCCGAGCGTAATGACCCAATGCAACTCAGTCTTAGCCTCATTGCGAATCCTGTGTGTATGGTAGTGAGAATCACTTGTTTTCCCTAGCTATACGTTATCGACTAATGTTCTTTCTAGTGTCTGCTGCAGCTCGTATTCAATGCCATTTATGTTGGTAGAAGTGTATTAGAAACTCAAAAGAACGATCTGTCTAGTCTAGATCACTATCAAATTGAACCAATAAGGCAAATCTACGATATAACTCCGTAGCTCTCTCCTGCTGTGCCTCTCTACCCATATGCCACTAAAGCTATTCTACTTCAGCTACGTACATGACTTACACATTCAGCCTCGGCTGATTGATAGACATCCCCCACTCATCAATATCGAGCTATCGGCTATTGAAACTCCATGGCAGGGGGACTGGCTCCAGGGGATTTGGCTACTCTTTTTCCACCAAGCTCAATATGGCACCACCCCGGCGGTACATACTTGATGCTTCAGGACGCCCTACCAGCCAATGACATCCTTCACAACCTCACTCATTGGGCAGACCAAAGGACACGCAGTCATGTCATCTCGGGGAAATAAGTTACAATGCATACTGAAATTACCACGGGTCGACAAGCCTGTACTTAGTAAGGCGTGCTATGAGAGACTGTCTGTATTTGAAAATAGACAGCGTTCGTGGTAGCAGCAGTTTGTTATCATACACTTGATTTTCATTGTAAGGATTCACTGAACCCCACGATGAAACCATCACGGATCACGGCAATCGTGAACACCGACGGGCATGGTAAAGTTGCTTAGCCCTAGGCAAGGAAACCATGGGCCACCCCCTAACGGTGGATCGATGGCTGATCCATCTAGTGATGTCCTCAACTTGGCGCTGGAACAGAATTCTGATCGTGGCCTCATGGTTTCCTCAGCCGTTTGAAAGAAAATTGCATTGATGTTTTCACATAAAGCGGAATTTGTACTGCAGGTTTATAGTAATGCTGTACTGTAAAGGTTACCTTTCAGTGCATCTAAAATTTGGCATACTTGTGGTGTGCAAGAGATGGGAAGATGGTCAGTGTGCCATTAGATGGAAGAACCTTGTTTGATAAAATAATGGCCAAACCTAATTTTGTGTTTCTGATTCCGTCATATGCCTGATTTTCAGTTTGAAAGCGTCGTGATACGAAAACGAGACCACTAGTTGATAGAGTATTGACTGTATGTGGTATTAAGCTGGAGCAGTGGCTTACAAAATGGAGCCGTTGGAGACAATCCTGTGGATGTCATCAACTATGTTGCCTAGAATAGAAGGCCAATTTTATTCAATCGAAGCACTGGGCGTTTACTTTGCTGGAAGTCGGCAACGTATTCTACTTTGCTCGCCTACAACATTGAAGGCTTGCCCTGGAGACAAGAAATACAACCATCCTTCTTGGCAGGTGTATGACTCTATGCAAAGACCCGGAAGCAAGCACAAAAGATCTTGTGGCGCAATTTAGGCCGGATAAGGTCCCCTATTCTGGTATACCTCATTTCAACCAGACAAGAATCGACGTTGTTTGGGAGACTCTGGTGTAAGCCCCCTTTTGAGACCGGCCTTGGCTGGCGGCGAGCAGTTGAAGCGAGGCTCGCATTCCAACCAATCAAGAGGAATGGTTGAGTGAAGGTATATATTGCTGGCCAGGCGGCGTTCTGTGTGTATCTAAACGGGTGGGCAGCAGGCATTGCACACCCACACAATACATTGGCCCCTTTGCCCCAACTGGGTTCCCTATCTTAACGGCTCGGTAAAGTATTAATAGCGCATTTGCTGTCTTGAAATAATCATACTTCTCTCCTTATTTTTCTATTATTATACCTCTACATACCCTCAGTACGTAGTTGTGAATGGAGCCCGGTTACCTTCCCTGAACCAAACACAAGACCTATTTGTAGTGACATCGCTTACTTTACTATACTGGTCTTATCATTGGTGGCTAATCTCTGCATATGATCAAGGTTTATTTATTGGTTATTCTGTAATGTTTAAAGGTTGAGTATTTCCCTTCAATGGTGGTGAAAGACATAGAGCAGAAGGAGGTTCAGGGTAACACTGCTCGCTGAAGGGATCAACCAAGGCTTCCACGCCCAGATGAAATGGTAATCACACAAGAAGTCAAATAGAAAAGAGTTCAGTTGCAGCCATTATTAAGACGAATATGGATTAAGAAGGCTGAGTTCATTGATGACAAATATTCCGCTTGAACGTACGTGTTCTGACGTGATAAAATGATCCAGCACCAGTGTGCGGTTGACCACCATCTATAATAAGCGAGGCGACCAACGTGTGTCGTGTCGCGTGGCTGCCGCGCGCTTGACACACTCGTCATAATCTTGGCGTAGAATCCCTTTAAATGGTCTGCTGATCTTAAGGGTCCATACGGCGCCCAAGTCATGCATTGCAGGCTGGGTAAGAAGGCTGGAGACCGAGTACGTGGCAGCCTGAACACTCCTCGATCAGAGCATGGCATGACTTCATACGTGTCCACTAATGTTGATGACGTCTACGGACTAGGCAGAGCTGAAGATATTCATGCTGTCACTGGTGGCTTACTTGATGGATCTAGAATTGCGGCGATAATTTTCCAGCATGGTAAGTGGTCACAGTTTTATCTCATCGAGAGGTTGAAGTTGAAAGATAATACGATAATATATTGAAAACATTCTGGTGATATTGTCCTCGAGGGCAAAGAAGTCCATGTTATAACCAAATCCAGCTAAAACAAATCCTCCAAATGCGTAGACAAGCAGAAAAATTGACATTAATGAGCAAACAGACGTAATTCGAGATCATGAAACTGTGAAAATACAACTAGATGTTGACCCTCCGGGCACAAATGTAAACAAATCGCGATGCGTGAGCATGGTAGTCTATACAAAATTGAAAGTAAATCAAGAAAGAAAAGTCATTGTTATCCCTTGTTCCAAGCGCTGTTATCAGAAGACAAAAGGAAAATTAAATCAAATAATGAACGGTACCGGAGACCATTAGCCGGAATTCGGGTATCAAGATGTGAATATGAGCATCAGATCGAGTCGTCTAGTAGTAGATCTCAACTCGCTTGCGCGAAGGACGACATCGGTACAGCTCGTATACCGCGACGCAGCGGCAACGGCGATGTTTGCAGGTCGAGCATCTTTCGCTGTCGTGCTCTTCAACTTTGGGATTCTCGATACGGGAGTAGCGTTCTCTGTAGCTTTCATGACGGTACTCGCTGCTGTAGTCTCGGATTTTTGGGACCCAGGAGGGCTTCGTCTCAAAGCAAGCCCACAGTTTTCCAGAGCCTCGATCGTAAGTAGCTTCTTTGCAGTACTTGATGCGGTAGTGGGAGCTGAAACGCTCGCTATATTCGTGCTTGCACATGGTGAAGACTTTGCCTCGATTGGAACGAAGTTGGTTGGTTTTGCAGTTGTTGGATAGTAAGGTCAGGTTACTTTGTGTTTGGTAGTAGCAATGAGTTTGTTGGTGATTGTTGTAGGCAGTTGGGAAGGGAAATGAGGAGATTTGGGCGGTATTTGTACTTGATGGCAAAGCCATTTTCACAAATGCAGTATTTAGACAACTAGGCAGAGAGGTCATGTGTATGAAACAGACGCGGCGACGAAAAAATGGAAAATCTCAACAAGGCAAAGCAATCAGCTGAAGCCCAGATGGCCAGCCGCGTGGTGGCAATTAGGGGAAGGGTCAGCCAAAGGAGACAGCCTTGTGCAAGACCGGAGAAGTGGACAGGCTTGGCCCAGCCTGACTTCCATTGTCTTCGCTGAACGGGATGATGGGAGTCACTGGAGTCACGCTTGGAAAAACCAATCAACACTGCCACTCTGGCAAGGCTTTGGGGTCCAGAATCAGGTTTGGGACACCCATTCGCAGAGCCAACAGGCAGTAATGCAACCACTTGGCCTCGAATTGGGCCTACATGATGACCTCATGAAGAGCAGCCACGGCGCAGAGCAGGTTAATGCCCAAAGCCAAAGCCGGGACAAGATGAGGGTGGGAAGGGGAGAAGGCAGCGAGGGTGCGGCAAAGCGAGCCTGGACCGGAAACGTGGGGAGAGAGAGAAGGCTATGGAAGAAAACTTGATGCCGGCGGAGCTGAAAATGCAGCAAAGTGTAATAAAGTGATGACCTTGCCGTGACCCCTCGGACTGCCCCTCATCCACTTCCAGCCTTGCGCAGCCGGATGAGGTGCATATCATCTGGCCAAGCCTCCATCGTCCCGTGGCACCCTTGTAAATACACTTTTGTGGGATAGCGCAGGCATCAATCTGCGCATGTAATTATGCTTTGCATATGACATGAACTGCTCTGTACCTACAGTAATGGGCCGTCCCATTTTCCCGTTCCTGGTGGACCTGACTACTGTAACTTAGTGAATCCCCTGCAGCCTGATCCTCCCACCCTGATGATCCTCCTCCTCCCACATCACTGGCCCAGTCATCCATCCCTGCATCCATTTGATCCCTCCACGTCAGCCGTGACTACGTCTTCGCAGAGCATAGCCTCAGATCGATGGCAGACTTGCTTCGGCCATCCCGCGGCACGATCCGACAAGGGAATTTCTTCGGATGGCTCGTCAACCCATTCGTCAACTCGACTTGAGGCTCAAGCTCTCTCCCGGCCTCGTCCCTGGCTCGTTCAATCCGCATCGTGCTGAGCATGCATGCGATGACAATCCAGACATTTGCTTCGGCCAGGTGCTTCCCGACGCAGACTCTGCGCCCAAAGCCAAACTGCCCAACAGGCAGCGGCTCGCCTCTCCCACCCTCGGCTGTGGGGAGGAATCTGTCCGGGTCAAACTCGTCCACATTGCTGTAGACTCTGCTGTCGTGCGTCATGGCTCTCGCGTTGGCATACACGAGTGACCCAGCTGGGATAAAGTAGCCTTCGTAAACATCATCCTCCAGCGACCGGTGAGGGACCCCGACCGGCGATACGGGACACCACCTCAGCGTTTCCTGGACGATGTGGTCCAAGTATGGGAGTTTCTCCCGGTCGTCAAATGTCGGAAGCCTCTCTCTCCCGACTACTTCGTCTAGCATGTGCTGCGCCTTGTCCTGGATCTCAGGGTGTAGCACCATATTCAGGATGAACACGATGAGCGTGCTCCAGGTCGTGTCCTGGCCGGCTGCATACACGGCCGCAGCCGCCCCCTTGATGTCATCGACCGATAGCTCGGGAGCCTCTCCATCCTCCAGTTGGCTCTGTCTCTGGTCAAGAAGCCCTTGGATTAGGGACTGGGTCCTCTCATGTGACTCCATGACTGCCTCGTAAGGCTTATCATGTAGGTTCCGAATGGCAAACCGCCAGTCACGCGCAAACTTGAGCGATCTGTCGTGGAACATCATCGGGAGACTTTTCAGCATCGGAAAGAAGTCTACAGGGGTACCACCCGGTGCTCCCCCATGACCAAGGGCATAGCTTGCATCCGTTGCAATCTGAATAAACCGATCGCTGTCCCTGCCGATCTTGATTCCGAACCCAATGCCCAAAACAACGGCCGTGGCAAAGCGCCTCATCACATTCTCCCACTCCCAGGGCTTCTCGAGGAGCCCGCTGAGCATTACAGCCGCCTCCCGCTCTTGTAGCGGCCGATACTGCACAATGCTCCTCTTTTGGAAGCCCTGCTGCAGTATGCGGCGATGCATACGAAATGCCGGGCCCCATCGCAGGAATGTCAGCGTTTTCACCCATCCCATCACTTCAAACAGCACGAACCGGGGCCGGTCGCAGTAATTGGCCCCCCTCTTGTCTAGGAGGTCTGAGGCTACCTGAACCGAATTCAAGACTACCACGGTCTGCCCCAGGACATTGAAGGAGAGTATGTCCGAGCTGTATTCCTTTGACCATTCCATGTAGGCATACTCTGGATTGTCTGTGGGAATGATACGGAGGTGTCCGAGGATTGGTTCCCCCGGAGGTCCAGGGGGTAAGCCCAGTAGGCTTTTCTTCTTCCTCGTGAGTGTGAACAAGCAGACAAACACCACGATTGCCAATAACACCAGGGCCTTGCTGAATGATTCGGCAGTTATTTGACGTAGGGCCATGATTTCAACGAGAATGTACAAGGTTCAAGCGACGAGCTGCTCGTAATCGCTGGTAGCTAGGCGATCCGAGATCGTGTTATGCCTGTGCGAAGATACTTTTATATCTAAGGGAGAAGCTTGAGACTATCGACAGATGAGGTTCCCTTCTCAAAGGTGGAGAACCATATTTTGTGCGGCAGAGGAGAAGGCCGTACGGCTATCGTTGGGCTGTCACAAGCGAGACAATGTCTCACACTCTGCCCCTCCTTCTCACCGACCCCTCTTCATCATTCCACCATTTAATCATTTGGCTTCTTTTTAATCTCGCGTATCAAATCGACACTAGTAAGGCTAGTGATAACTTAATCGAGTTGACATTCAAATACATTGACCGGCAACTAATCCGGCAAGCCAGAGTTCCATTACCATTGGTGATAAAGAGTACTGGACAAGTTGTGGCAGTAGGTTTAGGTACCTGTCAATTCGAACGACAAGAAAGGCACAGCTCGTCGCTCTCGTATTGAAACAAACCACTCAACGTTTACTCTAGGTATATTAAACTTGCGGCGATTACCACAAAATTGACGTTAGCTTTTCATTCGTCTCTGTGATCGATCAATATGAATTTCCGCCATGGGAGATTCCTCCCGCCAGGTAGGAGGATAACTTGGTTTCATCCTCATCCCCCAAGGGTCATGTCAAAAGAGATCACCTCAAAGGCATTTCTTTCGACAGGGCCAAATATCAAGGATTACATCTATCAAACAGGATTTGGAAATCGCTTCTCTTCCGAGGCCGTACCGAATATTCTACCGAAAGGCTTGAATACGCCTCAAAGGGTTAAATACGATCTATACTCGGAGCAACTAAACGGTTCATCCTTCATCGCGTCCAGGCGAGACATCCGGCATGTCTGGATGTATCGAATACGGCCTTCCACGAGCCATGGGCATGTTTCAACATCAGAGATGAATACACACGTACGTACGCACAGCTGTCACGTTCTCCCTTCATGTACTCATTTTCTCTGTCACTTTATCTTACGAGTTGACTATAGATTGAGTCAGTATTTTCTTCAGCAAACCAGAATGTGGAAGTACTAGCCACTCAAGAGTCGTGGGATCCTTTCCCACTACCCTCCCAGCATACAAGTGACGGCATAGACTTTGTGTGCGGGATTAGAACTGTTGGTGGCCAAGGAGACCCAACACTCCGTGAAGGATTGGCAATCCATATTTATTCGGCAGATTCATCCATGACCAACAGTGCTTTCTGCAACAATGATGGGGATCTTTTGATTATTCCACAGACCGGAAGGCTGAATATCCAGACTGAAATGGGATGGATGATGGTCCATCCTGGCGAAATTGCAGTCATCCAGGCTGGGGTACGTTTTCGCGTTTTACTTCCTGATGGTCCGTCTCGTGGGTATATCCAGGAGGTTTTTGGGGTTCATTATGACCTTCCCGAGCTTGGCCCGGTGGGCTCCAATGGGCTGGCATTGCCTCAAGATTTCCAATCACCATGCGCAAGCTTCGATATAGACAATTCAAACTGGAGAATTGTGTACAAGCTGGCAGGCCAGCTACATGTATGCGATCAGAACCACACCCCGTTTGACGTCGTGGCGTGGCAGGGCAACCTCGTGCCATACAAATATGCCATCGAAAAGTTTGTCAACCTCGCAAATGTAGAAAAAGACCAAGCCGACCCCACCGTCTACTGCGTGTTGACTGCGAAGTCCAAGATACCGGGCGTGTCTCTGACAGACTTCCTTATCTTCACGCCAAAGTGGGTAACGACGTCCAATACCTTTCGGCCACCGTACTATCACCGCAACATGAGCACAGAGGTCATGGGCCTTATATATGGTGAATACGGTGGCAGTAGCCACAAGCTGAAACCGGGGGGGCTCAGCTACGAAGCTAGTTACATGCCCCACGGGGAGACATATGAGACGTGGAGATATGCCACGACCAGGGAGCTGGCACCTGAGAGGATCTGCGAGGGCACCGCCGCATTCATGTTTCACATTAGTGTACCGGTCTTCCTGACAAAATGGGTTCTTGGGGGCGAAGGCGCAGGGAGGCGGCATAGTCACAGCTCCCAGGATGAGCCGTTGGACAGCTTTCAACCTCACTTCCTTGACCACGTGGAAGAAGTGAATTTGGAGCTCAAGGCAGCAGGTCTGCCTTCTTTGACCTCTAGCGGAGGGAAGAAGTAACCTTACAGATGCTCGCTTGCCTTCAGTCACGGTTACTTTTCCTTCAGAATCCTCCCCCTTCTTTGTCGCTCTATCCTAACCAAGTCGAGTGGGTCATGAAGAAGAGATGCGGGCTCAGTCGCTTGAGAGCACTGCTTTCGTCAATTTTTTTCGCTCTAGGTTAGACTATTCGATACGAAGCTTCTTTATTTTACTAGTGGCTATGGCCATTGCGCTATCATCCATTGCATTCCAGGCGGCGAGTTAATCTTCAGAGTCTGGCTGGGTGGTACGTAGAGGATCTTTGAGTTTTGATGGCGAAACCTTCTCTGACAGGCGTCACCGCGTGGTTGCCTCGTAAGTAGGCGATGACCGAACCAGCCGCAGCTTATAAAGCAACGACAAGACATCCCTCGTGCTGCGTGGAGGCAAGTCGAGATCCTCCCGCCTTCCCCTCTGCATGCGAGGTGCTATTCCAGTTGAGAAGATAGTGGCTGGCGGTCGGTAATGCCTGCCGCCCGTGAGCATTTCAGAACATGCTTCTTGTACCTAGGGAAGGCAAGCTTTGACCCTATTCCTCCCCCATCCAGCCTTCTCCTCCTGGATGAATCTCGTCGCGGTGTTGGAGCCCTTTCTGCCGGAAATCGGCTACGAGGGATTCATATTTCCCATTTTTATAAACATCACAATCCAGCCGCGGGCTCCTCAATAGTACTTTGCCGCCAATGAATCCGAATTATCTATATCATCAGGCACCTCAAAGCCAATTGAGCCAATTTCAATATGGCGCCCCAGGTCCACCTCCAGCCCCAACACAATCCATACCACCGCCAAGGACGCCATTAAGACCCATTCCGCAGTCGCCCCCTCAACCCGTCAAGCGCAGAAGCGCAGTCGCTTGTAAACGGTGTAGGCGCCTTCGCTCCAGATGTGTTCACGAGAAGGCCAACCCCCCTTGCGAGGCGTGTCGGGACGCCGGGCGATCCAATGAGTGCGAGTTCCCCCTGCGTGGGCAGAAGGATACGGACCGTGCCTTTAGACGACGCCCATTTGCAGCCACTACGTCCCAAAAACAGCCAGGTACAGCTCAAGGGACTGCTGGCGGAACTGGGACAGTCAACTTCACACCGCCGATAGCTCCAGCGGCGCACATGTATGCAAACCCGGAGCAGCAAAGGACCCCAGCGGGTCCCTCGATTGAGGTATCCTTGGGTCTCCCAACACCCCAGATGGACCGTGTCGATGTCTTGCCGCCGCCTGAGGAAGTCCTGGAGGGGTGCAACGTCTTTGTCACATCTTACTTTCAGCTGGGCTTCATCCCAAAGACCATCTTCCTAGAAAGCCTTAAACAAGACCCAAACTCGGCGAGTAGATTCCTTTTGGCATGTATCCTGTCCATATCTGCACGCTTCACACCTTCCTTGGTCCGAAGATATGGAAATCCTGCAAACGCCACGGATCACTTTTTGGAAGCTGCCAGGGCTATGGTTCCCTCGGAGATGTACCGGCCATCTCTCGAACGCATCCAAGCTTTCTTTTTGCTGGCTATATCCCAGTGGGGAAACGGGAACCGTGAGAAATCCAACATCGATATGGGGATCGCTGTGAGGATGGCTTCCATTCTAAAACTTCACTGCGAGGAGACATATTACGTGGAGCCGAATAGCACGACGGATCAGATTATCCGCTCTGAGAGTGCTCGGCGCGTCTTCTGGATGATACAGAGCCAGGAAAACCTCCATTCCGGGTATCTCACTCCAGCTTCGTTACCGCTTGAGACCATCACCACGCTGCTTCCCTGTAACGAGGGAGACTTTGCTTTTGGGACTATACCCGCTGAACGAGCTGCCCTTTCAGGTACGCCTCCTGCTCTGACAGATCCAAACCTTGTCTATTCCTCATCACGATGCCTGTTCGCGACCCTGATACAGGTTCACGGCCTCTGGGGCAGCGTGGCGAGGAGGGCACGTCGGTCGGATCAAGTCATGAGCAGACTCCCCCCATGGGATAACCAGAGCGAGTTCCAGAAACGAACCATAGAGATGCACAACTGGGAGGCTACTCTACCCGCCAAGCATGCGTTTTCTGTGGCGAACTTGAGGGGCTGGAAGGGAGAGTCTCTCCATTTAGCATATCTATCTGTTACCATGGTCCTCCGTCTCTCCAACATCGTCATTCGTCGTATTTACCTCGAGGATATGCTAGCTGAGCTCAGTCCAAGTGATGGCAACCAACCTCTGGAGCCTGAGACACCTACAATGGGCAATGCAAATGACGGCCGAAGATCGTCTCTGGGCTCAAGTCCATTGTCCAAAAGGGCCCAGCACTACATGGCTCCAACATTCGGGGGTTCGCCTCCAGGATTCTGGGGAAGCACCTCGGATACACTCTTCGAGAATGTATGGGGACTCCACGAGCAGATAGACGCCTACTTCAATATGCGCTCCCCCTCCGAAGGTTTCCCCCAGATCCTCGTTTTCTGCGTGTACATGTGTAGCTCTCTCAGCTCCCACCTAATGCGATATCCGGCCCTCTGCCCAAGGATCGCAGCGAACGGCCTAGCAGAGAAGATGGCTGAAAGGAGTTTAGAAGTGCTCACTGAGCTTCATGCTGCCTGGCCAACGAGCTCGAAGTGGCAAAGGGGACTTCAGCACATCGTCACTCCTCGGCAGAACATGAGCCCTTGCACAGATGTCGAGACACCTCAGCAGCATCCACTCATCACGACTCCTGGAACTATGAATAGTGATGTGAACAGGACGCCTGTTCCGCCCATGTTACAGGCATTGCCCCCGGAACATTTCCAGCAACAAGGGCCGGGAGCTGGATATCAGACGTCGGTCCAGGACCCGAGGCCTGATGGGATGCTCGGTGAACTGTTCAATGCGCTTCCCCCGGCGAATCAGCTGTTCAGGCTTGGAAAGGTCCCGACTAATTCACCTCCAAATGAGCTCTTAGAAATGGAGATCGAGGCTTTCATTCAGGGTGATTTTCATGGCGGTCCTATTGAGGGCTGGCTGGATGGTCCGAACTGGTTAGGGGACGACAGACGGCAAGATTGTCTCTGAATACTTTGCCAGTCGATGTTGAAAGGTGTGTCAATTATGTCAGTCACGCAGCAGTTTTTCTTTTCAAAAATTAAAATAAAAAAAGTGAATTATCCGAACACGAAGATATCGATAAATTGATTATATACCCATCGTCACAACACGATCAACACGATCAACACATTCTTGCCAGTCGATGAAAGGCAAAGGCTGTATAATGGCATCAGAGTCCCAGGCTATGTCATTCACAGATATCCGCCAGTTTCAGCCGGACATGTAGCCTGTTTCATATTTTATCAAACCATCTTATTGCCAGCCTGATTCTTTACCTTATCTCCGTTCTAATGTTAAAAGTTCGCCTAATGGTCACACTGGCCGGGATTGACACACCCGCCGCCATGCAGGTGGGAGCAGCAGCGTCATGCACGCACGACCATCGTATCGTACATTGTAGCATCAGCGCGTGTGTGCGTTGCATCGGGTGTCCATGGAATACGTCACTACGGGGGGGCTGGGGGGCCAGGGAGATGGGAGAAAGTAAGGGTAACGCGCCTACAGATCTCGCCGGCTGGTTGATGCAACCCTACATGACCAAAGGGATATGTTTGCCCATGGGGCGGAAGCTTGATGCACCCTGTGGAATAGGGCCAATCATTCAGAAGCCGCCTGGATGATGATTCTTATATACCATGGGGCATGTTTCATTCAGGTTCCTCCCGGCTGCCGGATAGGACGACTCGAGGGTCTGGGTAGCGGGCGGGTGACGTAGGATTTTTATCTACTTTCTCAACTGTCGTGGCTGTTTCTTCTTCTTTTAAACCACAGCGGCTCTGTCGTACGCCCCAGGACGCCTTGCGCCACAGTCACTGCGGCAGCGATGTTACACCCGTGTGCCGACTCCTACGAGGCCTTGGGATACGGAGAGCTTGTGGATTGGGTAGGCTGCCCTGCGCATCCTCGTATTGACACCTGCGAGGTGTAGATATGGACGCCCGGTTCGCCCCGATTTTCATAGGTCTTCAGCTGGGCGACAGAAGCAATGAGACATCAAATTGAAAGGTTGTTATCAGCAGGCCTTTTCACGATGACTAAAATAAGGAAGCAACGTATAATTGAATATCTATATAAACAATCTGTGCTGTATTGTCTCTTTAGAATCCATTATTGGCCCTTAATACATTATTCTAATAAGACCGCTTGCAGACTTGGCAATTAAACAGTACAATGTTTGAGCGTCTCAAATTCAATTTCACCCACTTGGCCTTTTACCTTCTGCTCGCATATGGTTCAGACTTCCTGCAGTGATTAGGGAGAAGCAGGCCCCGGTTTTAGTGACGCCTCTTGAGTATACGAGCCCGTTCAAGGCCGCGGTATGGGTCTGCGGCGTCTGATTCAAGAATACGAGGGATGAGTAATGGAAATGATGATGGGAAGAAATACTTTATATTTTTCTTGAGAATCTTATAGCTAGAAGTTGGTGGAGAGGGTAGAGAAAGTAAGAATATGCCTTGGATATATGAATATTGAAGAGCAGGGACTGATGCCATTTAGTAGTTGTCCGTCGAAGAGGCTCCATATCTCATAGTCTTACAGATTCTGTACTGCTATTGTGTAACAGTAGCCGTTGGACTTGGCTATGTTAATTGCAGTGACAAGCCCAAATTAGGTAGGTATTATTCGAAACAAGCAGATGCTGTGTCCATGTAGGAGCCAGGCAGGGTGATTGGAAGCCATGCCTTCGTACCCGATTATCCCTATACGAATACATCTCATATCTACAGGCCAGTTAAATATGCCATCTCGCTCACTTGTCTAGGTTATTGATCTGTTAAGGCCGTCTGTCTAGGGTTGCAGCATGCAGGGAACACTCCTTGCCCTACCACAGTGGAGACTTGTAAATTCACAAAGGTAGGACGAGGAAAAGGTGATATTCATGACTAGGGAGCACAAAATAATGGGGAGAAGGATAAGTCATTCACAATGATGACTGCTGATGCCTGGTTAAAAACAGCAGTGACGTGTCAGCACCATGTGTGCCTATATACGCCTGTCAGTGAGAGTCAAGACCAAAATACCTTTACCTACCCCACCGATTTTACGGCTTCCTTCATCATGTACGCCAAATAATTGGTGGCAGATGACCCGGAGCATCATGCCCATTGAAGATTGGATGGTGCCATCACCGCAACTATCATCCATGTGGCCGGTTCTGCCATACTCATTGAGATGACTGAGAGTGAGATTAAAGCCGGATCAACTGGCGAAGAAGCTTACAGACATGGTGGATGGCATGGCGATTTTGAATTAGCAAGGAATGCAATGATTCAATCGCCACGATGTTGTCAGTAAATATAGAATCAATGTGTATTTTGGGAAGAGGACGACGGCCCGGATCCTTGGGCCCATGCTCAAAGTGCATGGCTAGCCCTACGTCAAGGCTAATCCTACCTGGTTCGTTGAGAAGCCGGGGTGGTGCCCAACGGCTGGCAGAGCTGTTTGTGTCTCTCCGCTCGAGTGCTAATTTTTTCAAGGGCAGATGGATTGACTGATGTCTCACATCACCCAAAGACAAAAGACCTTGTTGGTTGACAGACGGAGAAGCATTGTCACACAAACGCTCCTTAAATTGGGTTATTGTCTGGGATGTACTGCAGGTATGCATGATTGAAATAGAATGAAGAAGCACAACGGAAGGAAAAGAACACGATGAGAACAAAGAAGTAATCCATCTATGTTGATGATTCTCATTGTCTAGGCCGGCAGATCATGCAGTCTGGTCCGTACACATGCACACTGCATCCATCACCACAGTTGATTTCGTAATCTGTAATTTGTTTAGAAATTATAGCAATCGATTGAAAGCGAAAAGATCAGCTCTTTGGAACTTGCTGGGTTCCCTTATGCAGGCCTTGTCGGACTGCCTACTTACCGTGTTTGGTCATATTTTACGGGCCACTCACCGTTGTTCTCACAGGCACTAACCAGGCCCTTTGCTGACATGCGTGAGGGCCAGTTTTTTGTTTGGAGAACGTGGTACGCAACCTGAAGTGCCAAGACCTGCCGGGATCGCGTCTTCAGCCCTCCAGACGGCCCGAGGCCTGTCATTTCAGCCTGGGAAAACCATCGCAAATAGCGATCTTCTGCACTTATCTCATCTCTAATAACGGAACTCAGGAAAGGTATGTATACAGTAAACTCGAGACTGACCATATGTACACAACGTTTGCTATCCCATATCGTATGGGAACAAGATGACGACAAAGCGGGGAGCCAAGAGACGGCCATGTTTGATAGTATGGAGAGAGCAAATTAATACGACGACACATCATACATGCAACTCGCACACACACACACCAAACCGCCCAAGATGAAGCTGCGATTGGCCGCGCATGGGCCAGCCAGCGGCCGGCTGGTGCGCTTTCGTGTCTGGCACCGTATATCGCGCGCGGGTGATCCAGTCGAGTCTCGGACTGTCCAGGCTAGATTGCTTCCCAGATCTGACAGTCCCCAAGAAGTGCTCTGACAAGGAGATCTGGACTTGAAAGCTGGTGCATTGTTTCCAACGCCAGAGCACCGGGATCGACAATATAGGCTCTCAGATCCAGGCACTAACGTTGCTGTCAGCGCCCCAAGTGCCTAGAGTGGCACCCGACATCTGGGAATGCAGGTATTGAGGTGTGATTGCACATGGCCGGGCACTGGAGTCTTCGACCAAACAACCCAGGCCAGCATTCTTCTCCATCTTGCCGGACAGACTTTGAATGCGAGTAGCAGCTTGTACCATGTAGCCATCATTTTTCTGTGTCGGTAGGGCACGGAGTACTTTATCTCCGACAATCCCGGACTGGCTTCCCCAGGGTTTTGCGGTGGACGAGTGAGTGGTCTCCGATTTCTCCAATGCCCACAGGCACTGTGCTATTAATAAGGTATGGTAGTATCTGCCTTCATAGTACGTGTAATTTTTTTTAGGGTCCAGGGAGCGCAAACTGTGCCCGAAGGCCTGGTCCTTTGGTCCCTTGATCCATTGCCAAGGACTTCAGTAGTTATTAACAGCTGAGAGGTAATTACCTACGGACTGCTGCTCTGTCGACACTTTCATCCGAAATTGTGTGTCCCCTGCTCGGTCGGCCGTCTTTGCAGTTGGCCGTTTCAGTGGGTAGCTTATCATCTTACGAGGCTTCCCCCCCTTGGGTGCATGGCATCATGAGTGAGAAATCCTTTCTCTGGCTGTCTGGAAGGGTAGAAAGAATTATTAGTAAACAACAGCAGCGGTTATTCACTGCCGAAAGTTTGCCAACTGCACCTCATTGACTGCTGCTTAAAATACCAGCTCGACTCCAGCGCAGCCTTATTAGCCTTGCAAGTACATAATCAGGTACCTCGCTGTACTTGATGCGATTGCCCAGATTCTGGAGGGCCCAATTGCCTCTAGACCCCACCGCCACACACGACCACCCGCAAGACCAGACCTGCTAGCGGTACACCGCCCACCCGTGCCACCACCACGATTAGGCGGATTGATGTGCCCCAAACGACGGCTTGATCGTTGCTAGTGAGCAAGTAGGACTTGAGCTGAGCCTCCGTGTGGCTGGCGAGACCCGGGCAAAACCGACAGGCCAAGTCAAGTCCAGGACGTGGGCAGCAAATTCCAGGTGCGACCGGCAGACGACTCTAGTGGCCCATCGTGGAGTAATTAGGGGTTTTCCAAGAACCTGTGGAGCGGCATCTTCGACCTGCCTGTTTGCAAGTACCTGCCAGGTATCTCAGCCAGGCAGGTAGGGCCTGGTACATGTACGGTACTAACGGTACCGACCGATTGAGCCAGCCACAGTCCGTTGCACCTCATTCCCCCCCCACCTTTCTTTCGCACCTCACCAGCACTCGAGCTCTTCCAACCACCACCTGATTGACCACAGTCGGTCTGACAAGCCTCACCTGACGGCCTCTCAGCTCGACGGCCTCTTCACTCGTTCCATCTGACTCACGATTCACATCTACCGCCTCGGTTTCCTGCCTCTTCCCGCTCCTCTTCTCCAACGGCGACCGTTCCGTCCAGCGTAGAACACCTCACATCGGCTGCCGACGCCTTTCGACTGGCCTTTCGAATTGACTGAGCGAACCAGCCACTGCCGCGCACCCCAAAGTCCTACGAGCCTCGACCCCGAACCACTCTTCCCTGATCGCATGCGTTTGGGCACCAGCATCTTGCCCTCGACACGGCGGATGAGAGCCATTTTGGCATCCTTGTGAACCCGCTCGCCGCCTTAAATGGTTGGCGCCCGGCTGAGCTGCAAACTTTCGACCTTCGTCACCTTGAAACCCTAACACCGGGTCCCTCCCCCGCCGCCCGCCTCCAGCGCAATCCCCTCGAGCGGCTGTCCTTTTGCGCAGCCCACCAACCGTCGCCATGTCTTTCCGAGGCGACCGCCAGCATCAGTATGGCCATGTGCCGCCAGTGCAATATCCCGTTTCAGGTCAGGCGCAGCAGCCTCAGCAGAATGATCTTGGCAGACGTTCCAGCTTCAATAACGGGGATGACGGTGCCTACTACGGCGGCCAAGGCTATGCTCAGCGACCACACGCTACCAGCTTCGCAAGCAATAACTCGGGCGAGGACGAGATGTTCTTGTCGAACCAAGCGGCCGCAGCTGCTCAGCGAGCAGCCGCATACCAGCACTCGAGCCCTGCCATGTCCGGCTATCAGCATCAGTATCAAGATGCCCCGCCAACGCCTTCACACTCTTATAACCCGCAGACCTTCAACCAAACATCGACGACAATGTACGCGCCGCAAAGGCACTCTGTCTCATATCGCCAGGACGCCTCGCCACACTATCCCGCCGCTCCTGCTCAAACCCCACCAACCAACTTTGCCCCTCAGACGTACAATCCTGCCGCATATGCCAATACAGCCTCGCCGCAACGGCAACATGCATATCAAGGTTATGGCGCAGAACAGGGCTATCACCACAATGTCTCCGCCCACGGCTCCCCGGCTTTGAGCCATGGGGCATCTCCCGGTGCGACCTACACTGCCGCTTTCCCACCACAGCCAAACCACACTGCCGCCTCGTTTCACTCCACTTACCAATCCAACACACCCAGTCCTGCTCAAGCTAGTGGCTTTGGTACTCAACCGTCTCCTGCAACGTATGATCCATCTCAATATGCCAACGCTCCCTACGTTCCACAAGTCTCAAACGGTGTAAACTATTCCTCGGCTCCGTATCCTACCACCCCACAGACCACGAGCGACTCGAACTTCTCCAATGATCAACAGTCCTATTTCAGCGGATCAAGATCGAATTCCCAAGCTGCATCGACTAACACTACCTATACGTACTCGCAGTCCAGCACGAGCCTCCAGAGGCACCCCATAAATGCCCCGTTGCCTAGTCGGCCTGTAGAGAGTGCCCGTAATGACTGGCAAATATCGGAAGACAACTACGATCAAGACCAAGCACTCTTGATGCAGGATATCGAGGCCGAGCTCGGTGCGATTGACTCTAGGCAACGAGCGAGAACCAACAGCCAGCAGCCTGACGGTTCCTACAGCAGCGCACCACCAGCAGTGGCTCCGCCGCCAGGGCCCCCTCCTGGCATGGGCTCGTTCCTCCTAGACGACGATAACGACAGTTCCCCTGGGGCTCAATCCCTGAGGCAAAATGAAATCGCCCGTGCCTCATCACGATCGTCTTCAAGTCCTATGCCCCCCGCTCTCCCCGAGGAGACATCGCATGGTTCAGATGGTCCACTGGGCGCGGTGGTTGATTTGAGTTTTTTCGGCGGCAGCTTTGAGCCCGGCGGCTTCTCGTATGGAGATGATGTCGGCTCCCCGCCAATTGAGGCCTCTCAGGAGACAGCTCGGCCGTTGCCCTCACCCGGGTCATACAACAATGGTGCATCAACTACAGACATTGAGCGCTCATCAAGTTACAAGTCCATGACACCACTAGACGGCGGCGATACTGGAGGCTTACAGCCCCCCAAGGCCCAACGCTTGAGCTTTGATGAAGGGGACGAGCCAGTATCAATCCACTCTCAGCAGAGTGGTGGCACCGAATCTCCTCCAAAAGACGACTACCAGGATCTGTTCTATCACCCTGGCCTTACAAACCGCCCACTTCCGGCTCCTCCCACGCCTGTGTCAAATAGCAGCTCCATGGTTTCTGTCAACACCAATCCCAGGACTCAGCAAACGCAGCCGCAGTTCGCCCAGCAGCAGCAGCAGCAGCAGCAGCAGTTCCCTCAGCAGCCGCAGTACGCGCAACATGGACACTCCAACAGTGCAGGGCATGCCGGGTTTTATCAGGCTGCAAACCCCGATCAGTATTATTCCGCCGGTGCAGCGTACAACGTGCCTCCTCCCGAACGGTCGATATCCTTGTCGGGTCATGCTACGAACCCACAGGTGGTTCCACCCACTCGATCTCGAACCGATGCTACAGAGGAAAGGCGAAAGCTCCGTCAACAGCAAGGCCTTTCTGTTCACCAGAGTGGGCCTCTTCCGGAATACGAATCTACCGATGCAGGCGCTTTTGATACGATCACTTTACCCAGCGGACGTAAGAGGCGTTTTATTCCTGGGAAACTGAGCCCTGGAGATTTCCGCAGGTGCTATGAGCCATGGGCCCTCAGCGGCATTGAAGCTTGGATCCGGGAACTGGCTGACGGAGAGGTGGACCTGAAGATAAAGATAATCGAGGAGGGGTTGATAGCACTCTTCACTAACAAGGTCCTGACGATGCATATTGCTGATGCCGAGGCACTGAGTGGTCGTGTCGTTGCCGATATGCTCAAAGCCGAAGTCCTGGTCCCTGAAGAAGAATGGGTCAAATTCGGCCCTGGCCACATCTCGGGTGTCCTTTGGCAGATGAGCGGAACAGGATGTTATTCTCCGAAGTTGCACGACTACGAGATCACCGGACGATGCTATTCCTACCACTGCAGTCGAACTCTCAAAAAGGTGGATCTTGATGGTCTCGATACCGAGAACACCAAGCCTACCGATGAATGGCACGTGTTTTATGGTCTGAAGAAGGAGGATTGGGAGTCGAAGCCCAAGAAGGAGGTTGATCGTCAGAACATTCTTCACGAAATCGTCACTGGAGAAGAGAATTACATCAAACAGCTCGATCTTTTCCGCACCCTGTATCGAGACGACCTCCGTGCTCGAAAGCCACCCATTCTCAATCCAGAACGCCAGGATAAGTTCCTGAGCGCGGTCTTCGGTAAGCTTGACACGGTTGTGCGCATCAATAAAGACCACCTTCTCTCGCAGCTCAAATATCGCCAACAGGAGCAGGGTCCTTGGATCGTGGGTTTCAGTGACTTGTTCAGAGAGTGGATTCGCAAGGCCAAATCGGAATATATTGCATATGCTACTGCATACCCCCATGCCCAGTATATGGTGCGCAAAGAGGCTGATAGGAACGTTCTCTTCAAGCGCTTTCTGGAAGAAAAGCAAAAGCACAAGTCTTCGCTGAAACAGGACTGGACGCATTTCTTGATTACACCCTTGCAGCGATTGCAGCGCTACATCCTCTTGCTGGAGAGTACCGATGGCAAGATGCTTGTAGAGAGCGAAGAGAAGACCAATCTTCAAAAAGCCATTCAAGAGATCAAGACCGTCACTTTGGAGTGTGACGCTAAGGTAGAGGAGACAAACAAGAGAGTGGAGATGATTGAACTGGGTCGTATCCTTGTTCTGCGCCCTGGTCTGCACTCAATCCTGAACCTCGATCACATGGGACGACAGCTCCTTATGCAGGGTGAATTGACACGGTTAGGATCCAGAGCTCTAAGATGGGTTGATGCTCAGGTTTTGCTTTTTGACCACTTCATGATCTTGGCCAAGGCCGTCTACTCACGAGATGGTAAAGAGAAGAAATACGATGTATCAAAGGAGGTATGTATTGTTTCTGATGAACGATACCGGACCATGCTAATGCACACAGCCTATCCATATGCGCCTCCTCTTCCTCGAGAGCATGAACGACGAGCCTGTCCAACGTCAAAAGGGTATCTCACCTCTAACACGTGCTGCTGCGGCCCAGCCGGCAACCAACGGCGGCGGACGTCCCGTACTTGAACATACGCCCACTGGCGGAACCCTAGCCTCAAACGGTTCGGGTGATGGCGAAGGCAAAATCCTTTATCCTTTCAGAGTCAAGCATCTGGGTCACGAGATCTACACTCTATATGCGTCTTCCGCTCGAGACCGGATGGAGTGGTGTACCAAGATTATTGAAGCGAAAACCAACTACGCCAAGGCTCTATTCTCGCAAAATGCAGAGCCATTCCATCTCCGAGTCCTTGCTGATGCCGCGTTCCACTACGATAGCGCATCAACATTCGCAAAAACGACTGCTGTGAATGTAAAGGGAACACCTCTCGACAAGGCAATTGAGGATCTGGAGGGCGTGCTTGGTTCTGCTCAAGGCATCGCACCTGTCTGCCGTGCACAAGTCAACTGCGCCACTGGCTTTTCAGCCTTCGGGAAGTCGGTGATCGCAATCGGAACCGACTATGGTGTCTTTATCTCGACACCATCAAACCCTCGTGGATGGACCAGGGTAAGTGCTGCGTCCTGATGACGATTAATGCTCTCCCTTCTTGCTAACTTGTTCTTTACAGACTATCCAGGTCTCCAGAGTCAGCCAAATAGCGGTTCTCGAAGAATTCTCTGTCTGCCTGGTCATTGCAGACAGGTCTCTGATCTCATACCCACTGGATGTGGTGGCTCCGGTGTCCGATTTCGCTGCTCCGGTGAACGACAACAGCCGCCGTGCTCCTCAGCGTTTGGCCAAGGATGTCACATACTTTGCGACAGCTCGAATGAAGGATCGCATGCTTGTCTTCTACAAGCGTAAGGAAGGTCTTCACACGACCTTTAAGGTAGTGGAGCCCATATTCCACAAGGCCAACGAGAAGCGACGTCTATTTGGACGGTCCAAGACCACCAGCGGCAGCACGGAAAGCTTCCGTGATTTCGACGAGTTCTTCTTCCCAACTGAGTGTTACTCTCTAAGTCTATTCCAGACCTATGTTGCTGTTTCAACTTCGAAGGGAATTGAGATGCTCACGCTGGATAAAAAGCAGCCGATGTCCATCCCCGATCTGAAGGCCCCAGCGATCGTAAACATTGCCAGCCGTATCCAGGGCCAGAAGCCAATGGGTATGTTCAGGCTTAATGAAAACGAGTTCATTCTCACCTACGAGGACTGCGCCGTCTACGTCGACAAGCACGGTGAAGTCAGCAGGACGCTGATCATGGAGTACAGTGGCCGACAGAAGAAGGCCAAAGGTGCCACCATGTACGGCCAGTACCTGATACTCTTCAATGACGATTACGTGGAGGTCCGCAATGCAGAGAATGGACGCCTACGGCAAATCATTGCTGGACGGGATGTTCGTGTTCTTGATTATGGCATCCGTGGCCCCACGGGCACAAATGCCACACAGGCACAACAGACCCAGGGACGCAACGGAGCTTTGCCCAATGTTGATGATGTCTCCAAGGGTACAGTGAAGATTGCTATGGCCCACCCCGAGATTCCAGGCAGGCAAATTGTCTTGGAAATGCTGTTGAATGATGGTCACAAGGAGGGATAAAGACTCTCGCCTGACTCGCTTGACATGCACACTCTGGCAAGCTGGGACGATGACGAGCGAAGACGACTCTTTTCAAGATACCCATAAGAGGAGACGATGTATATTGGACTGAGACTCCTACGAAGAGATGCATTCCGTTGTTTTATTATTCCACCCATAGGGAGGTGGCGGTAACACGCTCAATCTTGTTTTATCTTTCTGCTTTTTAGCTTGCATCTTTTTTCTCGCGGGGCCGTCAACTTGAGCCCCATTTCCCACTTTCTTTCTTTTTCATTATATATTATTCATCTCTAGTGTCTGACGGTATGATACCCCATCCGAAGAATCTTTGGATCTAGGGAATGGGTTCGTATGGTATGAAGCGGGTTCTTTTTTTGGGTTGAGATGATAGGATGGCCTGGATATATATAATGAATGATTTCGAAGATTTGAAATACTGTCCGCTCCTCACTGACCGGGACATTGACGACGCCACAGTTTGTGTAGGTATGCTGTGATGTCATGCCAACCGTCCGAAAGGCCTACGTTGGCTCACCTCGCTTGCCGAGCAAGTTGCTACTACAGGATCTGTCTGCCATGGGCCGAAGTAAGCCAGAGCAAAACATATCCGGCAACCGCACTTCACGCATGGCCTTGTCTTAGTAGGCAGGCAAGATGGAACATCGTTGGCCCCTTCGTTAGGTGGCTGTCACAACATCATTGAAGCAGGACCCAACAACAAAAGAGCTACGGATTTGCAGGTGACACTCTACAAACTACGATGGGAAAATGTCGTCGATAACCTTAAGAAGCTGCCTCGTCTGCTCATTCGATCTCCAAAATACTGATCGCGGCTGTGCAAAACGTTTGGTTGCAAGGAATCTAGAGAAACTTTATATCGGTTAGCATCTGGTGCCATCTTGATATGAAACGAAACAATCGAGGAAAGCCGAGACAAAAAGAAAATTTTCAGAATATGTAAGAAATAGATGTCATCTATCCACCTGGTTTAGCGACTCCGGCGAGAGTGCCACCAGGTAGAATCAAACGCAAATTACCTCATCAGATGATGCGGCGCAATTGAAGAAAGTTGTGAAAAGATAATGCTTACCATTGACGCTTTGGAAATGATTGTACTCTGAGCTCATATGAGCAGAGGCAGGGCTGCTGCAAGCAGAAAAAATGTTTGATAGAGGTGAAGAAATCTTAAGGTCAAGGAAGGGATCCGAAAAATTTAAAGGGCGTCCAATCAGGGGACCCACTTCAGCTATCGCGAGGCGCCCGTGCGCGGCAGGAAGGACAATCATCTCGGAGCCCGGCAGAACAAAGGTCCGGGAATTTTAGTTAGGGCAATGGATTTTCAGCCCGCACACCTTGATAGCCGAGTCCATCAAAAAAGTCATTGGTAAATCTAGACGTGTGAAGATCCAGCAAACATCCACTCCCGAACGGTAGACATTCTCGACTGGTACGACTGCACCCTGTTCTCTTCTCTCCTGAATCAATCTCCTGATCCGATTGATCCTCATCACTCGTTTTGAATCGAAATCCGACTAACGCGCCAGTTCTATAGACCACCGTCAAAATGGGCGAAGCAGTGATTGAGGGTTCCAACTGGCGCCTCGTAGAGGTTGGCCGTGTCATCGTCATTAACGGCGACCACCCCTACGCCGGCAGACTTGCCGCTGTTGTCGAGATTATCGACCACAAGCGAGTACGTTTTCCTGGAGATGTTGCAGAATCCGCCGGGCCGGGAATACTAACGAGCATTTGCAGGTTCTCGCTGAGGGACCTTCCGCAGACCCCGAGTTGGCCGTCCCCCGACAGGTCATCCCCCTCTCCCGCGCTCTCCTCTCTCCTCTCATCGTCGAGGGTCTCAACCGCGGTGCCCGCCAATCCTCATTGAAGAAGCAGTGGGAGAAGTCTGAGATCGACGACAAGTGGAAGGAGTCGAACTGGGCCAAGAAGCGTGATCAGATCGAGCGAAGGAAGGGTCTCACGGACTTTGAGCGATTCAAGGTCCTCCGTCTCAAGAAGCAGCGACGTTTCGAGGAGCGCAAGGCCCTCGCCAAGATCAAGGCATCCGCATAAATTGGTTGATTGCAATGGAGTCAAAAGGGGCAGCTGGAAGCATTAGACTTGGAGGAATGGGTCGGGCTGGCGAGAGCATATCGGCGCCGTATATGCATGCAAGCCGGCGGCGATCTACCTCTTGTCTTTCAGGAGGGCTGTATGTCACATCTCATCTTAAGGATGAACGGCGTCAATACGGAAATTCAGAAACCGAATGAATTTGAGGCTTAAAGTTAATATTTCTCAAACATTTAAAAGTGAACCAGTAGCAATGACGAAACCATGCAAATTCCATTTCAATCTCCCAAGGTCAAACCCGCGCTGCTGAGCCTCGCCGTAGATTGCCTGCCACATCCCGCATATTTCCTGCTCTGCGAAAATGCGGGCTGCCCCTCCTCACATGGGTGCGGTTCTGATTACCTAATCTAGCCCAGCCCACGCCAATTCACCAAACCCTAGAATTTCGCATTCAAGAGTTTTGCATCACAAATCGACGACGACAAGCTACATCAGGTCCAATTCCAGCCATTCCGGGCTCAACGCAATACTGTAAGCGCTCATTTACCCGACACCCTTTTTCGCCCCGTCGACAGGAACCGAATCGCGGTGATTGTGACTTGGAGGGGTGAAAATTCATCGCCGAATTATTTGCAGCTAACGTGGAGCTCTCCCGCAGACAACAGACAAGATGGCCAACCCCCGAGTTGAAGAGCTGCCCGACGAGGAGCCCCAGAAGACCGTCGTCGAGGATCACGAGGACGACAGCAGCGATGAGTCCGAGGCTGAGGCTGGTGCGCCCTCTGGCACCGCTGCCGTGGTCCACTCCCGCAACGAGAAGAAGGCCCGCAAGGCTCTCGAGAAGCTGCACCTGACCAGAATCCCTGGCATCACCCGTGTCACCCTCCGCCGCCCCAAGAACGTATGTGCAGACCAATTTCTGGAGGGGCCTGTGAGCCGAGCTATGAGGGGTTGAGTGCTAAACTTTCCGCAGATGCTCTTCGTCATCAACACCCCCGAGGTCTACAAGTCTCCCAACAGCAACACCTACATGTGAGCCCCTCCCTCCCCCCTGCCCGCACATGACGTATATACGTGGGAGTTGCATTATACTGATACCGCATCGCAGTGTTTTCGGTGAGGCCAAGATCGAGGACATCAACGCCACCGCCCAGCAGGCCGCCGCTGCCCAGCTCGCCGCCGCCAACGCTGAGGACCACTCTGGCCACAGCCACGCCGAGCCCAGCAAGGCCGGCGAGTCATCGGAGGCCAAGAAGGACGAGGACGAGGAGGACGAGGATGACGACGAGGAGGTCGACGCCGAGGGCATTGAGGACAAGGACATTGAGCTGGTCATGACCCAGGCCAATGTCAGCCGCAACAAGGCCGTCAAGGCCCTGAAGGAGAATGACAACGATATTGTCAATTCAATCATGGCACTGAGTATCTAAAAACCCGGCATATAGCTTTTTGAAACCTTGTCTTGGGAATCCACCAGAACCGCCGCCCTGTGCGTGAGCGCGAACAGCAATGTCTGGCTCTGTATTAGTTCTGGAGATTTACCCGGCTTCTAAAATATAAGAATTGGGCCCCAAAAAAAGAGGGACAAACAGTGCATTCTGGTTTTCTGTCTAGCTGTCTAGTAATTTTATGAATGTCGTGAAACAACTAATAGGTCTGCCAAGGGGACAGAGCGCTACGCAATAGCATAAGAACCATTTGCCGGCGCAAGTTGTGTGCAAGTTATATCATATTTACCGGCGGGGAGCAGAAGCCCCTCATTCTACCCATGTTCAATTGCTACAGATGCTACCAAAAGATGAACTGAGGTAGAAAATCTCTAGCAGAATTCATTGGGATTCAATATTTCTCGGCAATAACAGTTTATTCGAATTGGCATTTAAAAAACAATCCAATCTGCTCTTCCTTCCAAGCTCTCCCCCGCACCAGCAGGGCTGTAGGAACAGCTTCTGGACGTTCGGAACCTTGAGGGAGATGGTCGTCACGTGACGCGCGAACCGGCATCAATCATCGGACCCATTCGGCAAAGTCAACCTCACTCCCGTCAAGACCTACGATCCCCCTTCCCTCCCATCACCAAATCAACCGACACAATGGCCGCAGTAAGTCCCCCGACAGCCTCAGAGGAGTCCGCCGCAGCCCCAATCCCAACGTCCCCGCGGAACCGCCCCCGATTGAGCCCGTCCCAATTGCCCGCGACGGCGATGAGCTAATTTTTCCCTGCCAAAACAGCGAAGCGCTGCTCTCAAGCTCGACTGGACCAAGGTCACCAGCTCGCTGGGCCTCCGCGGCCAGACCGTCGCCTCCCTCCAGGCCTTCAAGAAGCGCAACGAGGATGCCCGCCGCAAGATCCAGCTGCTCTCGGAGCAGCCCACCACCGTCGACTTCTCCGCCTACCGCGCGGGCCTGAAGAACCAGGCCATCGTCGACGAGATCGAGAGGCGCTTCGCCGAGTTCAAGCCCTCCACCTACGACGTCAGCCGCCAGATCAAGGCCATCGACGCCTTCGAGGTTGAGGCCGTCAAGAACGCCGAGGCCACCAAGCAGGCCGTCGACCTCGAGCTCAAGGACCTCGCCGCCACCCTCAAGAACATCGAGACCGCCCGGCCGTTCGAGGACCTCACTGTTGTATGTTACTGCTGCCCCGGGAGGAGGAGGAGGAGGATCCTCCGCCGTGACTATGGGGAGGTGCTGACACGTTATAGGATGACGTTGCCGCTGCCGAGAAGTCGATTGATGAGAAGACCAGCGAGCTTGTTTCCAAGGGTCGCTGGATGGTGCCCGGATACAAGGTATGTGCAGCCGGATATAACCTCCCATGTGTCTCTGAATCATCTAACACCCAGTGCAGGAGAAGTTTGGCGATCTCGCCGTTGTCTAAGGGGTTCGTGTCTTTCGCTACTTTATACGGACAAGTCTCCTTTGTGTAC